AAAAAAAAAAAAAAAAAAAGAAATGCAGATTGACAAAATGGATCTATACCCCTGATAAGAGAGGTATGACAGAATTTGCCCTCTAGAACAGAAGAGTCCTAGAAGACAGAAGTCAGGGACTAGAGTCCTGTGACATGGTCAGATTTACTTAAACTTCAAGAATATGGAGTTCCCCCACCTAATCTTTTCACCCAGATTATCAACAAAGGGTTTAAAACAAAAAGGGCCCATTCTGGGGAAAGAAGGGGTACTGTATTGGGAAAACTGGGGTAGAAGATGATTAAAAGACAAGATGTCAGATCTTCCCTAAATCTATAAATTCAATGCTATCCCAATCAATATACTGAGAGGATTTTTGTTATTTTGACAAAATATAAGTTCATAATGATAAACACAAACATGATAATTGCCAGGATAATTCCAGGGGTAAGAAGAAACTAAAGAAGTATCCTTAATCCCTCTTTAGATTGCAGAAATTCAGTATAAAGCTAAATAATGAAGCTTGATACTAATGGCGAGGAAGGGTTGAGCTGATGATAACTATTTAAGGGGTATATAATTGTACTTGGCACATATGAAGCACCATCTAATATATATAAATCTATGATATCCAGGGGCACCTGGCTGGCTCCTCAGTGGAGCATGTGACTCTTGATATCAGGGTTGTGAGCTCAAACCCCATGTTGGGTGGAGAGATAACTTAAAAACAAAATCTTTAAAAAAATAAATCTATAAAGTCTACAATATGAAAAGAAGTCCCTAGGTAGTTGGTATACAACTGGCCTGGCTCTTCTAAATATGATTTAATTCAAGTTAAAAAAAAAAAAAAAAGCAGGGGCACCTGGCTGGCTCAGTCAGTGGAACATGGAACTCTTAATAACAGGGTCATGAGTTCAAGCCCACATTGGGCGTGGAGCCTACTCTAAAAAAATTTAGGAGTGCCTGGGTGGCTCCATCAGTTAAGCATCCAACTCTTGATTTTGGCTGTCATGATCTCAGGGACGTGAGATCGAGCCCTGCATCAGGCTCTGCACTCAGTGCAGGGTCTGCTTGGGATTCTCTCTCCCACTGCCCCTCTCCCTCCCCCCTGCTCATACTCTCTAAATAAATAAATAGAATAAACAAATAAATACATAAAATCTTTCAAAAAATGAAAATAAATCTCACAAATTTATTTTTATATTCTTTTGTACAATTTGCCTTCTCTCCTATAACTGTTTTATATTTTTTAAAAATGTAAGAAAAAAGAAGAAACTCTGAGAGGCTTGGGAAATATCTTAAGCTAGTATACCTCCCACCCATAGTCGTCTCATAAAGTACTACAATTCTCCACACTCCCCCAGCAGAGCTTACATTGAACAGTAAAGCAGGGATGGGTGTAAAACGCTCAATGTGGATCATGGACAGAACATCCGGGAGGTGGCCCTCACGGGAGCCCACGAAGAACAACCTAGAAGGATAAGAAGTGTGTCAGGATGATCCTTTCACTTGGCCATATAGCCACACTCCTCACTTGACAAACTAGGCTGAGCTCCAGAAAAACAGGAGGCAGTCTCTCAGGAGTATCCCATTTTCTTTTTTTTTTTTTTAATTCTTATGTTAATCCCCATACATTACATCATTAGTTCTAGATGAAGTGTTCCATGATTCATTGTTTGTGCATAA